GCCAAACACTTTGAATAGTTAATTAATTATATCAGTGGAAACGTATATGTTGTAAACTCATAACAAATATTTAATATTTAAATAGTATAATAGCCTGTGTTTTTTAGCTAGCCCACATCTGTGTTAATTGTGCTATTTTGTGCCTTTAATTAAATTAATTAAATCCTTTGTATTGCTACAAAATCACTGCAAACTGCTTAATAAAATTTCAAGGAAATTTCAAGGAAATAACGTATACAATTTAAGGAATTTAGAGAAATTTTGATGACAAAAATGAGAAATTTTGATTTTGAAAATGGAAGCACTGCATCAACATTTGCGCGCCCGATGTCTCCGCCGCGCGATACAAATATATGAAATTATGTACAAATTATCTACTTCCCTGCTCGATAACATAACAGTGAAAACGTCGAAAAGAAAAAATTCAACTTTTAGTGAATTCTTAATATATTTATTTCAAAAACACCAAAAAGAAAAGACACGACTGGACCAAATAGTCAATAGCGAACTTTTGCACGCTATTCCATGGTCGCCATTTTGATTTCGTAAGTATACGTAATTAAAATGATGTAATTTGTCATTTTGTGGCGTACCAAAGGGCAAACCTAGAGTCGGTGGGCACCACAAGTGGCCCCACCGACTAATGAAGCAAAAAATACAGGAAGCTCCAAGCCAAATTAAAAAAACCTGTGCTTTCATTATTATGACATATACAATGTCCAATCTGCTTTCTGCATTATCACTTAATACTCCTCGATAATTTGCTTGTAAATTTACATGATTGTACTTCATTTTCAAATATATAATTTTTCGGTGAGTCCGGGATTGGACGCACCTCGGGTGGCTGGAAGTTTTCCGAACTCACCTCGCTTCGCTCGGTAAGTTCGGGAAACTTCCAGCCACCCTCTGTGCGTCCAATCCCGGACTCACCTCCCTGCAAGTACGTTTGTTATAAAGTCGTTTCGCCCCCAAGTGAGCAAGTGAATTATCTCTTACAAACTAACAAGCTAGCCCATATTTGGATCAAACGCGCAAAAATCTATTCACTATAAAGCCTGCTTTCTACCTGGTTCGAAAACGCTCAACATATTTTAGTGTAGGCCTTTCCACGAATAATGCATGTATGTACCCGAAGGTATATTTGCATTTTTTGTACCCGAAGGTATGTTTGTATTCATGAATCATAGGTCTATCACGAATATGTGCACATTCATGCGAGATGAGAGTATCTGAAGATAAAATACATTCAGTACTTACCCTGTGAAACATCTATCAGGCTTCAATCTTGAATCCTTGAAAACTATACAAAAACATTCACGATATTTTGTGCTTTCACTCCTTGAGCAGAGAATCTTGAGTCCTTGTCGCAAATGTTTCCACTTAAATATACTCAATTTTCCTCAATTTTCCAACTAAATATAGTTCTATAATTCAATGTCGTTGTCTCACATGTTTCCACTTCAATATACTCAAATTTCCTTAAAATCGTGACGTGTCATAATGGAAATTTGTGTACAACGGAGATTTGCGATCTGCGATTGGAGATCCGCGAAAAAAAATGCGTGCCGAAACCTAGAGTCGGTGGGCACCACAGGTGGCCCCACCGACTAATGATTCGTACCCTGGTTGGCCCTGGTTACCTTCAACTATTCCTAACCCAATTCCTTGCCATCCTAACAAGTCCCAATCCCTGGTAAAGCGCTAGCCCCAATCCTGACCTATTTTATGCATACAAAACTTTGCACCATCATTTTGGGACATATATTGATAGTGGCAAAAAATTTAAGGCCCCGTTTACACTATACCGGATTGCTATCGGAGTGGGTCAAATTTTGTAGGTATCGAAAGGCTGTGAAGATTTTTAATCTCAGAGACCCAAATAAACATGCCAATTCTGTCAAACTAATAAGCATTTGCTACTAACCATTGCTCCGTAAAGGCAAAAGAAGATGTCGTGACCAGGGAATCCGGTATAGTGTAAACAGGGCCTAAGTTGAAACTAGGGTACAGTCCGTATGTAAACAAAGCCTTTGTTTACATTTCGGTATTCAAAATATTGAACTTTATTCGACAACTATTTGCATTTTCATGCTTCTACAGTATAACTATACATGATCAAGATACAACAACCAAGCTTTGCAAGAACATAAAATGAAATGAAAACCTAATTAAAGTGTTTATATCACACTCAAAAGAGTGGAGGTTCAATCGGTCGGAGCTTCCATTGAGTGTCAGCTAGTGCTGTCAGGTGCTGTTTTTGAATAGCTGGAGGGTTAGTGTCGTACCTGTGACTATATGTATGTGACTATATACTCACCCTCCAGCTATTCAAGTACATTGACACCATAGGGAACTAGGAAGCTCAAATCGAAATTCCACTCTCTGAGTGCGAGTGAGCTTTTACAGATACAGGCGATAGAGTTGTGTCGGTTTTGTTTGATGTACCGCGATATAGATTAATTTCCTCAATTCTGACGGAAATGTTAATAATGTATCAAATATTTCTATCTCACCCATCCCTTCTATTGCGCGGAAATCTATATATTTATATTAACAAACATTTATGTAGTCATTAATTTTTCACATTAAACTATTTTACAGCTAAGGGAGCATTCATTTTTTAGCTGGGGGGGGGTGGGCCGGAGGAATTCGGGGGTGGGTCAGCCAATTTTGACATGCTTCAAAGGGGTGGGTCTTTTTATAGTTTTGGTATAAATGGAGGGGGTCATAAAAATAGTCAGTGACAAAATCACCAATATGATTTTATTGAATTTGGAAATATTTGGATCAAGAATGGTAAAAAGGTCTAGAATCTATAAACTATCTCGTCATCTATAACAATGAAGCAAAACTCATTTGATGCTCTGTTCACACAGTCCATAGGAAAACATTTCCATGATGTTCGTCAATTGACTTCATTTTTATCCGTTTTTGTGTGAAAACATGAATGAAAGAAAACGCAGGACCGTAGCAAGATTTCAAAATCATGCATGATTTCAAGGTCTGCATGACTTGAAAATCATGCAGATTTTGATCAATTTTAAGCTTTATTAATTTTAAGCGGCTACATTATCCATGACAAACTGCAAAGAATGAAGATAGTACCCACAGTTTCCTGCAACTTATCCTAGTTATCCAATATATAGTTAATTAAATATGCCTTCGCCCATTTAGTACTACCAAATTGTCAATTTCGACATACTAAAACGCTGTTTTCTGACAATCAGAATTCTGTCAAATCTTCCCCCAAAGGCCAGGAAATGGCATTTCAGAGACTCTAGATTTAAAAATTTCCTCGGGCCTTTGGCCCTCGCTTTCAGCCCCACAATAAAAAAGAGCTTCCTACGGCCCTGAAACGCTATGGAAATGACACCGTGTGGATTAATAGTTAGGATGAGGGGTCAAAAAATTTTCAGTAAAAAAAATAGGGGGTCATAATTTCTTATCAACTTTTGTCTTGGGGGTTCCAAGTTTTCGCATGGAATTAGACATCAGTTCCTCCGGCCCACCCCCCAGCTAAAAAATGAATGCTCCCTAAAACTGACTGTGCAATATCAAACTCGTCCCAATCAGCTAGTTCTTATTGTTATTTTCAAAAAACACCCCCATTTTGCTCAAATAACGTAATAACAACCCGTATATATAGGAATTTGAAAACTTGCTTCCTTTTTAGATATTTCACTTCGTGTTGAATGCAAATATCATACTGGTGGCGTCACACTGCATAATAAGTTTACAGAAATTAATATTCTCTTCTTCAAGTAAAAAATAAACAATTAAAAATAATGGTTCAGTATTTTCTTCGCTTAAAATCACCTATTTTTGAACAAATTTTACAAGCTATATATGACATTTACCTCTATGTTGTATCAAATATACAACCGCTGGAATATACAACAACACGACCGCTCATGCCGTAAGAAACACGGTATAATTTTGGCACACAAGTATGGTCCGCTTACCGCACATCAAATAAACTTAAATTAATGTGCTCACTCAGTAACATTGTGGTTTATGGTTCTTTTATGTCCTATTGTTGTCTTGTTGATCATAATAACATAGTGAAAATCGACTTCCATATCAACAGTGAAAGTTTCTTTTGTGTAAGCTTGCTCTTTTATACTCTTTAGTGTTTTTATGTGATATTGTGACTTTTTGGTATTGTGCAGTGATTGCCACAAACATGAAATTCTGTATGTGTTTTGTGATCCTCTAGGTTGTAAGGTAGGGCCTAAAAAAATGCCTGTGGTTCCGGTTCCCGACCGACCTATTCTTTTCTGCCGACCCTATTATTTTTTCAACGCGATTGACCGTGCGACCCTATTTTCTCCGGGTGGTTTCGGGCTGCTCATACAGCGTGCCAAAATGGCGTCTGTTGTCACACTAATTATGGAACCAAAATTGCCTAAATTCGTCCATAGGAAATACGTATCTCTAGTTAATATTGATGTGGGGACTCTACTGCAAATCGCCCAGCAAAAACCGCCAAAACCATGGAAAAAATATTCAAAAAAAAAATTATTTCCGACCTACCGACCCTAATTTTTTCACGATATGAAACCGTAAACCACAGGCACAGGTATTTTTTTAGGCCTAGAGAAAAAATATCACATCACATATTACTTCAACAGGGTGTATACAAGAAGAAAGTAGAAACTTTATAATATTAAGTCTTAAAATATACAAGTATGGTAGAGTATAGACTAGTACAGTAAGGAGGTTACTGATTTTCTTTGCACTTTCCAACAGTATATAATACCCGAGTGCTTCCCGCATAATTTGCATACGTTAAATATTTGTACCAGTTATTATCTTACTAAACAGTGATTTTAATAGCTGAACTATAATATACTTTAATAATATGTTTAATTGAAACGGGAAAGTGCCTCGCATGGTACCTCGAGTCCCGTTCTCATACCGCTGTGATATTGTCCAATAAATTAATAAAAGCAAATTAAACAAAACAAAAGAAAAACAATAATTTTTCACATGTTGGTTTTATGCATACCCTATTAAAATTTGTTAAATGAGAGGACCCCTTACTACCTACTGTACCTGCCTGTATTTAAAGTTACGAAAAAGCTGTGGAATTTCCACTGTGTGGAAGGGTTTTGCAGATGGAGCTACACATGTCTTCCACCTGACAGGCAGTGATTGAGAAAAATGCAATTACACTGTATATATGCCCTCCAGGTGCAAAAATCTGGAAAAACTTTTAACATACTGTTTTACATAGAGGATGCTCAAAATTTGGAATATTTCTATTATAATTGTTTGCTTTCTTCTGATACAGACTGTATACAGTATACTCATGTAGACTCCATTCTTTAACGAATTATATGATCTGAAGTATCGCATTCATTGACACGGACTTCGACAACCTCGGCATGAGTGTCCATATGTTGAACAAGTTCTTTAGAAGTATCAAAAGCAGTATCACACTGGGAACAAACATAACCAATATCAGTCAGGCATTTGGCATCCAATTCTTGACAAGTGTCGCATCTGTAGGAGGCACCATGTTCCCATGCATGGTGCTGAATCAAACTTTTAAAATCAGAAAAACGTTCCTTGCACTTATTGCAATCATATTGATCATCCACGGACTTCTCTGCATCGTTTTCTTGAAAGTCTTGTGATTGAAATACACCGTTTCCACACGTGCTGCATAAAAGCATGCCTTGTCTCGAATGAGATATGTTGTGCTTCTCAAAACTCACTTTATCCCAAAATGTTTTCTTGCAAATCCCACATTCATGAGGCTTTTCTGGAAGTGTTGGGTGAAGGGTTGCTTTATGTCTCTTTAGATGATGCTTTAGTGAAAACCTCTTATCACAAAATTCACATGCATATGGCTTCTTGCCTGTATGAGTTTGTTGATGTTGTGTTAAATACCTTGGTTTCGAAAATCTCTTTTGGCAAATGTCACATTCATACTTTTTTAGGAAACTATCACTGTCGGATCTGCTTCTGGAATGGATTTTATGCAATCTTTTATGTTCCGCTAAGTCAGTTGATTGAGAAAATTGTTTCTTACAAACAGCACACTCAAAAGGTTTCTCTGCGTTGTGTGTTCGTTTATGAACTCTAACGGAAGTTAGATTTAAAAATGTCTTTTCTCCTATATGGGTTCGTTTGTGAACTGTTAAGTTCGGTGTTCCTGAAAATCGTTTGTGGCAAACATCACACTCGTAGGGCTTATCACCGCTATGTGTCCTTTTATGTCTGGCTAAGTAATTTTTTCCAATAAATTTCTTGTTACAGACATCACATTCATAAGGCTTGTCTCCAGTATGTGTTCGTTCATGCCTTGCCAAGTTGCATAACTGTGAAAATTTTCTGCAACAGACATCACACTCGAACAATTTCTCACCAGCATGTATTCTTTGGTGCAACTTCAAGCCATGGTGCTGTAAAAATCTTTTGTTACAAATATCACATTCAAGCAGCTTTTCTCCACTATGCATTCGTTTATGCACTCTTAAATAGCTCAGAGCTGAAAATTTCATTTTGCAAACATCACATTCGTGAGACTTGTTATCTGTATGTGTTCTTTTATGTGCGGCTAAGCCGCTTGTAGACGTAAATGTTTTGTTACACATATCGCATTCATACGGCTTTTCTCCAGTATGCCCTCTTTTGTGTACTCTTAGGTCACATTCATGAGATTTTTCTGCAGTGTGTGTTCTCTTATGCAATCTTAAAGAGCCTGAATCTGACAGCTGTTTTTTGCAAACATCACATTCATAAAGGTTTTGTTTCTTTGCAGCATGCGTTCTTTGATGCCACGATAGGTTGCTAGATTTCGAAAATCTTCTGTTGCAAACATCACATTCATAAGGTTTGTTTTCATCGGCTTGTACCTGAATGGAAAGAAAATTATATTTATAGCCTACTTGTTGCCCCCCAGGGACGTAGCGGTGGAAGTGTACCACCTCCCAACTCTGGAAGTTCAGAAAATTCAGATAAATTACTGTAAGCTGTACCGTACATTACTGTAAACTGTGCCACGTGAAGGCCAGTGTGTATTTGGATACTCTTGCCTAAATCTTTGCAGAACTCTGTAAACTCTAGCATTGTTTCGATAGTACTCAATTACAATAAAAGCTCTGCTGTGGAGTGAATTGTAGCCTAACCATTTTAAAATGTTGCCAAGAAGACAAAACAATGCGAGGTGTTTTAGAACAGTGATCGAATTCCATAGAGAAACATTTTTCCGAAGCAAAGTTCTAATTCTAATTAAATGTCTCATTGGAGCAAGTCGAACTGGCAATATACAAATTAAGTAAAGGCATTAATTAAGCATGCCAAAGGCTGATCTTTTAGAAAAGAATGAAAGTTTGCATGAAGAGTTTAAGGGTTCAAACTAAAGCAAATGTCTGGAATTTTGTACTGTAATTAAAACCCTCACAAAGATAAAGCTTTTAAATTTCGTGCGCAAGTAATTTTTAGTTTGTTGGAAAAGACACTCCCCCTACATTATAATGGGTACTCAAGGAATCCATATATATAAAAAACTTGATGCCAAGAGCTGCCTTGTGAAATAGAAATCCTTTCAAATCCTTTCAAATTCAAATCCTTTCAGTTTTTTTAATTTTTATACACCCTGTATAGTATTAATTGATTTATAATACTATATACAGTAGTCAAACATACATGATCTGACCGCATGTAAACAATGCAGTTGGGTACTGAGTAGTAGTATGTTATGTGGCTCTCTCTCCCCCGGTGATCCCCACACCGGATATCTCCAGCATGAGGTTACAAAATTTGTTGGTGTGAGATTACTTTGCAGTCTTAAAAGCGCACAGGATTGTCTTTTTTGACTTGGGTTTTAGTCCCCAAAAGTTAATTTGTTTGAAATATTGGCATGATCGATCAAGGGCAAATGTTGGCAATATTATCTCAAGTGTAAACTTTACAATTGGAATGCACCCTGCCCCTGCGCTCCGCTGTATACTGTATGTGATCAATATTTTGGGACATTTAATTTTTAATTTTTCAGCTTTCAGACCTTTCAATAAAAATGCTTAAGCACAAACCTCATTTGTCATGATTCTTTTGCATCCACAGACAGCTAGAAAACAGTCAACAACAAACCTCATCAAAATATCAATTCAACATGTGTTGCAACAAGTTTGGAATTAAAAGAGTCAGCATTCCAAATTATAGTGTTTTGTAGATGGAAATTTTGAGTGTGAATTTCATATATTTATTAGATCTGACCAGGAGCAGTTGTAAAAAATGCAACTACAGGCCCTCTGGCAGGAATCGAATCTGTTGCCCTGCGATTCCAGTGCAGCGCAACTGAGCAACAGAGGCCAGTTGTCAAGCTCTAACTGCAAGTTCATGTACATACATACTAAGGTGATGCCAGGGCTCTAACCGACAGGGATTTGTACAAGCACGTTTCTACTACCGGTACCTATACGGTAGTAAAAACTCAAACTTCAATGGAGTTTTGAAGGAGGGGGGCATTGGGGGGTATTCAATACCATAATGGGTCGTTCCAGAAAAGATCTATACTCCCCCCATAGAGGAAATTTCTGCCGTCCGGAGGGGGAGGGGAGAAAAAATTGTTTCTGATAATAGTAAATGTATTAGGACATCCAAAGGGGGTAGGGGGGTTAACTTCCTATTTCCTCCTTGGGGGTGGTATGGGTGTTTTCTGGAATGACCCAATACCGCAAGCAAATTTTGTCAATTACCGCAGTTTTTAGGCCAAAATTGCAAATACTGTGTACCGCAAGATTTCCAATATCGTAATACCGCAATTTTTCAAGGAAAATACCGAAATACCGTAAGAAAAATAAGCTAATACCGCCATACCGTAAATCCCAATGTCCCCCTCTTGAAGCACCATCTTTCTCCTTTTAATAATTATTACAGTATCTTTTTATATTTTTCACAATATTAATATATATTTTCAGTATATATTCAACACGCCATTAAAAGCCTGTTTTTCAAAATCATTAATTTTAGGGGGGGGGGGGGTTATTGGAAATGGGGTGTGTTCTTCTAAAATTCAATCTTCATAAAAACGGTAGCAGTCTAAAATGCTTGTATTAATCCTTGACCAACTGAGCTAAAGAGGCCAATTGTCGAGCTCTAACTACAAGTTCATGTATATTTACTAGGGTGATGCCAATACAAGGTGTATGGAAATACCAGGATTTGGGGATTCCTACAATGAATTAAATCAAGTTTGGATGCCCAAAACCCTGATATTTACCAAGTACTCCAAATACTCTGAACCTTCTGATGTAGTATTGAGGCGTGAAACAATACAAATACCTACCTGTATAACATTATCTTTAAAATTTTAAAATTATCACAAAAATGGCGGCCTTGGCGGGCTTTCTATTTCGTAGGATAGAAAGGAACATTCATGTACAAAAGACTTGAATGTGCTACCACTTGTACAAAAGTATTTTCATTCAGTGCTTTCTCTAATATTTCACAGTTCAATTTCACCGGTCCTTCAATGTTTCATTGATGCTCCTATTATTTTTTCTTTTAGTAAATAGTCAGGAGAGTAAGTAGAACTTCATAGTCTTCATAATATGCCTGACTGACAAAAACATATTGCTTCAAAAAGGCATAAATTAAAACACTTATATTATATAAACGATACGGAAAATTAAGAAGCATATCCTAAGCCTAGTCCCCAAACGTTATACGCGGTTGGCAGAAAAAATTTAAAAAGTAGAAAATTAGTTGATTTTTTACAGTTTTAAAAAAGGTAAGTACTTTTAGTTTAAAACTGAGTTATTTATTCATAGATAAGCTTTAAATGAATATGTCTACAGTTTAAACATATGCATTTTGAAGCCAATGGTAACAAATTTAATATAGATTTTGTCTGGATTGGTATGAATGGTAAAATACCATTTGATAGTCACAGCTTTATACTGTGGAATTATGATGTGCAGTATTGTACAGGCCAGACTGTGATGTGGAGCATTGCACCAGAATCGCAGAGCCACAGGTACAACATGTTACCAGAGGTCCCATATAGTTGCACTTTTTAGCAACTGCTTCTGGTTTAGGGGCCACGTCCATATTCATGTTGCCAAGCATAATGTCGACGTTATCACCAGTACCCACCTCAAATAACGTTGATCGTTACCCTGTCGAATTTTGACCGCTAAAAGAGCTCAAAATCAAAATGGCAACTGAAATATGGTATATATTATAATCAATCAATTTATCTCAGAAATGCATTAAAATGCTGATCAAGGCTTCAATTCAAAGTTATTGACTATTGTACTTGCCTTCATTGGCGCCAATTAATGTAGGCTCTTTATTATAAAATATGAGAAGTTATATCGCAGAAACATGTCGCGATTCGCAAACACAAATTGACCAGTATTTGACACGAAAAAAAAACAACGTCGGTTCAATACTTCGACTTTTGTTTTGACCTCTATTAGTTGAAAATACTATAATACTGGCAAAAGTTACACAGCAAACATTAAATATTTAAACTTCGGTCTGTTCGGATGTAAATAGTCAAATTGCCATGAGATAACGTTGAGGAGTTGACGTAAAAACCCACCCATAACGTCGATTCGATGTTATGCGTGGCAACATGAATATGGACGTGGCCCCTTAGGTCTAAATAAATGTATGAAATTTACACTCAAAATTTCCATTTACAAAATCCTTCAGCATTCATGTACACTTACTGCCAACAATGATCTGAGGCAAAAGTAAATTTGAAGGGGTACTAGCGAAAGTTCTTTGGCACAAATCACTAACTCCAACAAATGTTCCAATTTGCAAAGCAACAAGACCTTGTGCATGCAAACACAATAATTAGTGGTGTGCATTTCATGCAAATGAGCGGGTATTAGGATTCTGGCATACATACCTGTTCTCGGATGTCAAATCCCCACTTCTTTTGCCATAATTTTCATTTAATTTTCATTTCTGGCAACAAAATGGCACAACTTATAATCATGTCGTTTAGTTTTCATTTTTCAACTTTTAGCCACTATATTTCAAGAAATTATTTAACTTTCAACTGACATTTTGGCATGCCCACACAATGAGCTACAAAAACTCATGTGTGCACTGTCCATGCTATAATGTTGTTACTTTTTACTAGAATCTCAGACACATAATATTAACTTTATTTACAATACAAGATCACATTATACTGTACAGTACTTACTACTTTACATATCTATAAAAATACATTATATACAGTATGCTTCGTTAAATTCTACATTTTTTCCATTTCCCCCAAAACTGTCCAGTTTCATCTGGATTTTCACTTGTAGAGAATGGTTTCATCTTAGTTGATATCTTGTGGCAGCCCAAGTATTTGGCCTTTGACTGAAATCTGAAAATAAGCTCTACATTTTGGGCGGGAGCAGTGTCAAACCTTTATTTTCCTCATGGTGGGTGGGCAAAGGAAAGGCCTGATACAAATGTTATTAAAAGTTCATGCCATACAACTATTTCTAGCGTGAGTAGCAGGCCATATTTAATGTACAATTGTTTTGATTGGTTTAAATAATGCTAATTAGATTAAATGATACTGTATTTAGTAGTAATTGAAACTATAATTAGATTTTAATTATTGTTTTTATATGAAATTGATATTTCTTCTGGGATATTTTGATTGGATATTAATTTATTTGTTTATTTTATTTTAAAAATTTTCCCCATGTACAATAAATTTATGTGTGGTATATTTACAATAATTGTAAAGTGCAGGCTAGAGACTTACTAGAAAGCTTTGTAGACTTTTTATTTAGGTCTCTATAGTTATGCACTTATGCTAGTTTGTATTATATTATGTAATAAATTATTTACAGTCAATCACAATATTAAAGGTATATATATATATATATATATATATATATATATATATATATATATATATATATATATATATATATATATATATATATATATATATATTTTTTTTT